GGGCATGAATTACCTGTTGTGTCCGGCGCTTCAGCAGTAGGGGTTGAACATGCAGCTGCAAGGAAGAAGATAGAGTCAATGAAAGGGCAGCAAATGCGGCGGGCTTGTGGCAATGGAAGTAGACATGGCAATGGCCATGGCAATGCACATGGCCATGGCCATGCACACGGAAGTGTAAGACTGGAGCACTAATGGGGCTCTGTCCTGCCATCTCCCCATCCAGACACCAGCCTGCCCTGTCCCCAGTCCTGCCCCATCCTCCCCACTCCATGATCCCACAATCCTGCTCTTTGCCACTGCACCCAGCACCTACACCTGCACGCGTGGAGAGCCTGCTGTGCCCTGTGCCTGCCCACACGGGGCCTTTGCATGACACGTGCTTCCAGCACCAGGCAGCAAAGACCCCCAGCCTCACCACTCTGCCCCGGCTCTACCAGGGGGGGCAAGCATGGCTGCTCCCAAGGGAGGGCACCCAAACCCGCCCAGTGGGATCTGCAGGAGAGCCAGTAGCCTCCGCTGCCCACACACCTGCACAGATGACGCTGGCATCCTCCGCGTGCCTGCAGTTGTGCACGCCCCAGCCGTTGTGCCTGCACATCTGGAGGGAGGGCTCATCCCCGCGGCACTGCACGTCGTCCAGGAAGATGCTCCCAGAGCCGAGGCCAAAGCGCGCGTTGCCCGGGGCGGCCGTGGGCTGTCCGCAGCCCAGCTGCTGGCACACCACCTGGGCATCGCCCAGGTCCCACCAGTCGTCGCACACCGTCCCCCAGCTGCTGCCGTTGTACACCTCCACGCGGCCCTCGCAGCTGTTCCTCCCACCGGAGAGCCGCAGGTGGGTGCCTGGGACACGGCACAGGGCATTGGGTTATGGTCCCTCCAGCCCAGCACCCTGTGGTCCCCAGATGGGCCCCATGCAGAGGAGGGAGCCTGCATGTTGCTGCAAGGCAAGGGATGGGTCTGGTGGGCATGAATTACCTGTTGAATATGGCCAGTCTGTGGTGGTCACTGGAGCTATGGATGGAAGTATTTGGTGTCAATGAAAAAGGCTCTGAACACACTCAGAGCATGTCATGCAACCTGAAGGAGCCCATCTTTAAGGACCCCCTGTCCTATGGCACTTCACGTCATGCAGAGGTCTTTCATTCAATTGAAATGACCATTGTGACGTCTCTGTTTCACACAGCCATCTGCTCCCTGGGCAGGAACCACACGACCATGGAGGTCTAACTTGTATTACAAAACATTTGATGCAGCAGCTTTCTGTTTTCCAGTCACACCCCAAATTCCAGAGCATCTCTAGGAAATGGCTATGGTACTACCCATGCAGGAACTGGAGGGGCGAAGGCAGAAGGATCCCCTGTCACAATCCTCCTAGTTGCAGCAAGAGGAAATCCCTCCCCAAACAGTTTCCTTCAGCAGCAATGGCTAGAGGTCCTGGCCTCAAGCCTCAGCCCCCCAGTTTACCAGCTCTCCTCCATGCTCTGCTTGCATCCTCACTGTGGACTTGGGTGCCAGGAATGGCCTAACTGGAGTGGCCCAGGGATGGGAGACTCCCTCTGGCACGATTAGGTATGGGAAGGGAGATCAGGGGCACTAAGGAGATCAGTGAGTGACAGTGGACAAGGTTACCTGGTCTGCTCCCCTCTGCTGTGGTAGCCATTTTCGCTATGGTGGTTGTCTCTGCTAGGGAGGTCATCTCTGCTAGAGAGGTCATTGGTGCTGTGGTGGTTGTCTCTGCTGGGGAGGTCATCTCCACTAGGGGGGGTGTCTCCGCTAGAGATGTCATATCCTCTGTTGGGGTCGTTAAAGTTGTTGTGGTCGTCTCCACTAGGGAGGTCGTCTCCTCTATGAAGAGGAGATGTCTCTTTGCTAGAGAGGTCATTGGTTCTGTGGTGGTTGTCTCCTCTGTTGAGGTCATCTCCAGCACTGAGCTTAGCACTGCAGAGGTCATCGGTGCTGGAGTTGTCTTTCCTGTGAATGTGAAAGAAAACCACCACTCACTTGAAGACCATACTTGTGTAATGGGTACATCAGTGTGTTAGCTACAAGCCCAGTTCCTCAAGGATGAAGTGCTGTGTCCAGCTCTGGAGCCCTCAGCACAGGACAGACATGGACATGTTGAAGCAGGTCCAGAGGAGGCCACAAAAATGATCAGAGGGGTGGAACACCTCTGCTGTGAGGACAGGCTGAGAGAGTTGTGGTTGTTCACCCTGGAGAAGAGAAGGCTCCAGGGACACCTTATTGCAGCCTGCCAGTACTTAAAGGGGGCTTATAAGAAAGATGGGGACAGACTTTTTAGCAGGGCCTGTAGTGATAGGACAAGGGGTGATGGTTTTAAACTAAGAGGGCAGATTTAGACTGGATAGGAGGAAGAAATTTTTCACACTGAGGGTGGAGAAACCCTGGCCCAGGTTGGCCAGAGAGGTGTTAGATGCCCCATCCCTGGAAACATTCCAGGTCAGGTTGGACGGGGCTCTGAGCAACCTGATTTAGTTGGAGATGTCCCTGCTCACTGCAGCGGGGTTGGACTAGATGGCCTTGAAAGGTCCCTTCCAACCCAAAGATTCTCTGATTCTATGAAGTGAAATCATGACAAATTACTCTGATGGCATACTCCATCTTGAATGGGGTCAGTGGAGAGAATGGAGGTGGGTAACAGCCAACTGAAAATTTTTCTTGAAAGTGGTATTTCCAGATGGTGACAGCAGGGAAAGGTACTGATGTGGCATCTGCTGCCAGCCACAAGACACCATGGCCCAGGCGCAGCCGGAGGCTGTCCTCTACAGGCTCCTGCCATGGCGCCAGGAGCTGTAGGGCTGCTGGCAGCAGCAGGGCTTGGACCTATCACCATCGCAGATGCCCTTCTGCTGCAGAGGCTCAGGTCATCCCCAGGAGCAGCCCAGGCAGTAGTCTTGGGGTGGTGCTTGGCACAAGGCCAGGAGTGGATCAGGCCATCATGAATCATCTGCTGAATATGGCCCATCTGCCGTAGACACTGGAGCTACGAATGCAAGCAAGAAAAAAATGGCACTTAAAAAGACACTGAACACAGCACGCTTATGGTAATAGAGGCATTGTAGCAAGTTTTGTTGTTTTCTTCTAAGTGCAAAACACTGATGTGGCTAGCATTTTCTTCTAGCATGAATTCAGCTCTCTAGGCTTTTCCTCTTCAAGGAAATGTAGAAAACTGCAATATATATAAAAGACCTGAACAACCTGTTGTTGTTAGCTAGGTCTTAGTTCATGATGACCTGTTGTTAATACAGGAGAAAATAACATACAAATGAACTACCTTTTCTGAAAAATAAGGAGAAAGTAAAATCAGAAAACAGCAAGGTGACAAAGTACTCAAAATTGATGAATATTTGTAAAGGAAAATAATATTAATGGACCTAAACTTGAATGAAAACTTGAAAAATACAGAAACAAAAAGTGAGTTGTCAGCTATGGCAGTTTGGGTTGTGACTGTGAAATTATTACTGCCCATGATGAATGTATTAAGGCTCGCCATAAGAAGTGGAGTTCCACCTAACCCCATTCCTCCCTGATGAACATTGCCTATCAGACATAGCTTTGCCTCAATTTCAACTTGTTTCCTTATTCTCTTTGTTACTGCTGGGTGATTAGACAGAATAAAAGTTCTGCATATTGCAATGTATATCTGATCCTTGGGTTTTTTAATTGCTTTGCATGGAGTGAGCAAGCACAGTGTGTATACTACCCTAGTGAGAAAAAACATGAGCCCATGCTGGCTCTGCGGGGTCAGCAGAGTGAAAAGACAGGGTTGCTGGATGATCAGACTCTGCTTCCTGAGAACAGGCCTTTTCAGAGGGACTGTGCCCTTCCACGGATAGAAAATTCTTCATAATAAAGTAGAAAGAAAGATTAGACATATTATCTGGTATATCTGGTATAGCTTTCCACCACATATCTTGAATGAATGAAATGTACCTCAGGAGGAGAATGTCTGCATACCTCCATGCCGGCACATGTATATTGAGTGCAATTTATAGCAAAAGTATTTAGAAAAGAAAAATGTGACAGCACCTGAACAGACAACACCAGCGTCTTCATAGTGGGCACAGTTGTGTATCCTCCACCCAGAGTGACTACAACGTGTCAAGGAGACCTCATTCCCCTTGCACTTCACATCGTCCAGAAGGATGTTGCCCGAGCCTTGGCCAAAGTAAGCGCTTCCTGTAGCTGCGATGGCCTGGCCACATTCCAGCTCCCTGCACACAACCTGGGCATCGAAAAGGTCCCAGAAATCATCACAAACTGTCCCCCAACGTCCTTTGTAATAGAGCTCAACGCGACCTTCACATTTGTGCCTTCCGTTCACCAGCTGGAGACGGGTTGCTTTGGGAGAGAGGGAATTGAGCACAGCGTCAGACAAATAAAGCTGGAAGTGACTTTAAGAAGTCATCTGTTCTGTCCTCGTGCCCCATCGTTCCTGGTGGGTGCTTGTCTAGCCTGATATTAAATGGCTGTGAGGACAGAGGTGATACACACTTTTTTTCTTCCTCTCTTGCAGATCCCGAAATCAGCTGCACATATTTTATGCAAGATTTCTACAGAAAATTTGGACAGCAAGCTAAGCACAAACTATTTCAGCAAGAAGGGAAATTTTTTAATAATAAGAAAAGCATAACAGGAAAGCAAAGGAGAGAAAATTAATTTCAGTACCTGAATGATATCTAAGTAAAACTGTATTAAAAAAAAGCACCAAATTTTTTTCACTTTGTTAATGGGAAGAAAATGACATGTTTTAAGAATATAGTACATATTTTTGTATTTCTTTTATTCATAGTTGTAAAAATGTTTTGTTCTAAAGAACAGAGAAATGTAGCAATTTACATTGAATCCTACTGGAATTTAGGAGGTACAGCACAGCTTTCCTGCCCTCAACCTGTGTCTTACCAGGAGCATGTACGTGTAGCACTTCTACGTGATGTACGGAGCCTCTGCTGACCTGGGTGCAGGGGGGAAAGCAGGGCGGTGGCTCAAGCAGTTCACCAAGGCTTCAGGGACACAGCAAGGCACAGCTTGGACAGGCAAGACTGACTTTTTCCTAAATCTATGCTCATGGGGCTGCTAAAATGCGGCCATACAAAAATTACGAGGCAGGTAAATTGCAATTCATGAGATATTATGTACTACTGAAGGACAACAAGCAGTGACCTACTTTGCTTAAAATTATGTCAGAGTTAGGCCAAATGAATCCTTCAGAAAAACTACAGAATTTTTAAGAAAAAAACAGCCATCCTTTATTTTTCTCCCTGGTTTATACAATTTAACTAGGATTTCTCTTCTTCCTCTAAAACTTTTAGAAGAATTTTAATGACCTAGAAGCCACACATCACAACCTAATCCTAGAATCCACATATCACAACCTAATCCTAAGTTTTTAAGAGTAAGTTTAGTGGAAGAATTCCACTAAGTGTTCGACAGAATGGACAGTGCTTTCAAATGGGATTATAAAAATTTCAGTAGAAATCCACTGGTTTTATTTCTTACATGCCTGTAAATTGTTTATTAGAGTTTGAAATATAGAAATACCTAATGACCTATCATGTATACATTGATTACTGCATTCATTCAGGTAAAGCCCATCTGCTTTCCAGTTTGAGTTAGCTTGTGTAGACATTCTGCAGTGAACAGTATGAAAATCCTGATTTTAGAGATCCATTTTTGGTGAAGAAGTTTATTAAAGACTTTACCACTAAGTGTGAGTAAGCAAATAAATGTCGTACCTTAAGATATGCAGTGTTTGCACTTTGGAAATCAAAACACACATGCTGAACTTGCTATACTTTGCCTTTCTGCCAAATACATATTTAGCTTGTTATTAAACACTGAATAAGTCACCCAAAACAAAACAAATCCAAGAACTTAACAGCTCCAGGATTTCTTCACTGCATCTAATTCTTTGTTGTTGGACTAGGAGAATGGTCAAGACAGTGTCCAAACTAAATTTGTCCCCATTTGTATGTGTTTAACTGCCAGTTCCAAGGGAGAAGCTACAGAAGTACCCTTTGTCCTATATCTGATTTGTTTCTTCAAGTATCTACTTGGACATTTTTGAACCGTACCCATAGGATTTTTGAGAAGTGAAACTGCGAACGTGGCAAAAAGCCAGAGTGGGATTAGGAAATGAAAGCTGACCTAAAACGGTTTTATTTGCTTTCTTTCATGGCCTGTAAGCACTGTGAGAACATAACCATCAGCTGGGCATGTCATTAGATAGGTTGTGTCCTGCCTCATGCTTTAAAGGTGTCAATAAGACAAGAGCCTGTGACTATACAAATACAGCACTTACTCTGATCCAGGAGACAGAGCCAGGGGCTGGGGAATGAAGCCAAAAGCAGAGAGAAGAACTGGAACAGCAAGAGGAAGATGGCTTATCACCAGGCAAGGAGAGGACAGATGAAGAAAACTGAATGAGGTGGATGATGGCAATAATCATAATGATATATCATTATGAGAATAATCATAAGAAATAATCAGCAATTATTCTAGGATATACATAGAACTATTTAGCTCAAAGCCACCTAAGTCACATAGGAGATGATAGAAACTAATCATGTAAGGAAAAAGTCAATGATGAAAAAAAAGTTGAACCAAAAGCATTTAATGTCTTTCATCATTATTTTTAGATGTTCTTCACTTATCCACAGTGCTAGATTATGAAAACTAACTTCTTGTTATATTTCATTAAATTTTACATAACATCAAGAAGAATCAAATAATATGAGCAATATTAAATATATAGCATATGTCTGTGTGCATATACTCTGGAATAAATATACATTAAAAAAATTATTCCATAATTCTTAGATCAGATTTCTGGAACTGGAAGAATAACTTGTTCATAACATACTCACAGACACAATTCTTTCAATGATACAAGGCACATTCTTTCAGTGATACAAATATGACCCTGTGGCAGCAAAATGAACTCCACTAAATGC